ACACACACACACACACACACACACACGCACGCACGCACGCGCGCCGCGCGCGCGTAATGGTTTCCTGTTATTGTGAAATAACACTCACAAAACAAAGATATCTCTGACATTTAGAATTTGAAAGTTGACAGGTTGCGTTAATGTGCTTGGTATTATTTTACTAAAATAGCTGGCGTAAGAATAACAAATTAATTATGGACGGTTGCCAGCAACAAATCATAATGTGATTTTTATTAATATTTTTAACGAATTGTTAGACACACCTGTAGTAATTTGTTAAACATAACAATATATAGTGCAAGGCAGAAAGCTATAATTTTAATTTTCTAATTCTTTAAAGTAAAATTGTGCTCCAGAGACAGACAGACAGACAGATAGACACCCAGATAGATAGATAGATAGACAGATAGATAGATAGATAGATAGATAGATAGATAGATAGATTAAAGTAAAATTGTGCTCCAGAGAAAGACAGATAGACGCCCAGATAGATATATAGATAGATAGATAGATTATAGATAGATAGATAGATAGACAGATAGATAGATAGATAGATAGATAGATAGATAGATAGATAGATAGATAGATAGATAGTGTGGGTGAGATTTAAAAATTGAATAGATCTAATAATAAATACATTTAAAAAAAATGGGGTACGATTTCAGAAGAGGAGAACGACACACACTCCGGCCGGGGTCCACAAGAGAATTAAATAGGAGTCACATAATATAGGATTTCCATCCCGAAAAGTTTGCTCTTCTGTGAGGCTACATTATCGTATAATTTCAAGTGGAAGTTTAATTTGTTTTTTTCAAAAGTTCAGAGCTGGCTGAGAACGGAGATGACGCTGAGAATTATTTCGACGTTCAATTTATTTTTCTTAGGCAGTTCATTGTCGGTGGGGAAGGCAGTGCTGCCGAAACGAAATGGGTCATAATTTTGTTGAAACTTCCGTTACAGTTTTAGAGTAGATGGTGCGCATGCGTGAAATAGAGGTTTCATTGATGAGATCCGTTGCAAATAGTTTTGTCTGAAATCGTCAGTAGATCTAGATTTATTTTGTTGGTAGTCTTTTTGCGAATGGTAAATGGTGTATCTCTTACGCCATGATGTACGCAGCAGTGGAAAATGCGTCTGGAACTGTTCCAGCTTTTTTGATCAAGCTATGGACTTTAGTAGAGGACCCTAGTACAGACAACCTGATTCAATGGGACCCGGTTTGTTGTTTTATTTATTATTATTATTTCAGTGTGTTTTTAAGTTAACTCTTGTCCTGCGTCTGTGCCGAGATGCGAATCTTATGATGTCTTATCAGTCGGCAACCGATTACATCGGACGTTCCGGGCACTGGGCAGGCCGCCGGGGTCACTCAGTGTGTACTGTTGGTGTACAGCGCGCGCGCGCCGGGAAGGAAGTGGCTACCTCTCACCCAGGCCCAGGGCGGCCAGGGTGAGACTTGCCACCGTAGGCTATTCTCACCCGGTGTGAAACAAGACCCGTTTTTCCTAATTTCGGAATTCTTTCTATCGGTGTGGATGATCAAATGGATATAAGCAAAGAAAAAATTACGTTATAATCTAGATCTAGATCTAGATTCTAGATCTAGCACAAACGTAAAAGTAAGCTATTTGATAGTCTACAAAGATGCTATGACTATTGACTATGGCTATTTTGGTTCCGCTATTTCACTTTTCGAATCGAGCCGAACTACGCGAGTAGCCATTTTGTTTTGCCCGAAAGTTCTCGCGTTACTCCTCTCTCTCTTTCTCTCTCTCTCTCTCCACTGCCCACAGACAAAATTGGGCGCTTTTTCGGTAGTTCCCACCCCGCATTTGTTATTCGCCGGTTTTGGTCCCAAGAGTAGGGGGGTT